CCAATGCAAGAAGTAGTGTGCCGACTATGTAGCGAGGTGGAAAGTAAGTGTGTGGAGGTCAGGGTGGGTAGGCATGTAAAGCTTGTCACAGGCCCCTTGCAGACCTGCACATAAGGTTCTGCCTTTTCATCAAAGGAAGGTGTTTGCTCTCCGGCAGAGAGTTAGATGAGAAGATTGATACCACTCTCTTATCTGCCAGTTAAATACAAGGCCACAGCCAGCAGCCAGTTAGGTTAGCTTAGCACAACGACTGCAAACAGGAGGGGAAACAGCTAGCTCTGACCAAATGGAACATAATCCACCAACCAGCTCCTTTAAAGCTCACTAATTAACATGTTATATTTTCTATATGTCTTTTGCTTTTTTGTTGCCATCCAGAGATATTGTAGAAATCACACATTTTTAAAACATTAGCACTGAACATAATCAGTGTTCAGAAGCGTCAAATGTCTGGCGATGGGGCTGAAACACCTGTGTCCTTGAAAACAATACTTTGCAGGCATTGTTGGGTCCCTCCCTGGTGGGAGTCCTCTATCCTAGGGAGCCCCCCTCTGAATCCCCCCCCCCCCACTGAATCCCACTCCAACCTCCTGCTCAGCCTGTGTGGAGAGTCACAGCTAAAATGCCCTAATCCCTTGTTTAACTCTTTCACCCCGAAACCCTCTACTGCCTGAAAACAAGCCTGACCTGAAGGGGTAAATCCTGCTACCAAACACCCCCCACACACACCCACACACCCAACCCCTCCCCCTTCTCACGTGACCAAACGCATGTGGTTGTCAACTTTCTCCCCCTCTGTTCAGGGCCAGAAGCAGACGGGTTAGGGCGGGTTTGTGGGAGATGGAGGAGACTGAGGAGGGTGGCGAGGAGATGCCGGTGGTGGGGGTCCGCCCTTGTTTTAAAACAAGCGCCTCTCTCAGAGATAATAGTGTGGGCTGTGGGTTATAAATGATGCATTTTGCTCACCAGGACCTGATAATAGCGGATTGGGTATGGGGGGAGTTCATCGTTCTCTTATCAAAGCTCTGTGACATTTCTCCTTCAGCTGTAAAATTTCATATCACATATCTGCTTTAAAGATGTGGCACCTTTTGTTGAACCGATACCGTACATTCCATTTCACCCCATATGCCTCTCTCGCGGTATATTAATTTATAGCCCATTTGAGGGCTCTATAACGCGGCCTGTCGGTGGAGATGACTGGGATTCAGTGGGACATGTGTGAATTGCCAAGCACAGGTTATTGAACTTTGAACAGCAGACATTTATATGCTTTGATTCAAAGGTAGTACTCGATATCAAGAGGGATCCTCTGCCTTCTGAAGCTCAAACACATCTTCCCCACTTGTCTCTGCTGTTGTCATTCTTTGTTTCCCAATAACATCCTCCCTCCCTGTTAATATGCTCATGATAACTGAGGAAAAAGGTGAAGTAAATCAAAAGCTTTTTTTTTTGGTGCCTCGGGCAATTTCTTTTCCTTGAAGTTGGTTCTTTGAACTAGTTGGAGAAGTCAAATTCATGTTGAAAAGGGCTTGCTTTAACAAATGTTAATCTGCGGTAGCAAGTTGGTGATGTCATTTGTCATCTCTGACCATTCGCAGAGACCTCACTCCGGGGCAGAAATTGTATTAAGAAGATTCAGGCTTTCACTTCATGTGCGTTAATAGAACCATTCGTACAGTGAAATGTGAATCTATCCTTAAATCTCCAAGACATAAGGTAAAGAGTATTTCAGTCTTAAATCAACAATATAGCATTCTAAATAAAAGTGTAGTGTTTTTTCACCTTTAAAAATGTCACTTACAAAACAGACTTCCTCAAGTATCCTTTATTTTTGTGAAAATCTACAGAACTTTGTTTGGTGGAGATCCCAATATTTCTAAAGCCACCAAATATGTTCCCAAAATATATCAAACTTCTGGGGAAATATGTATTAAATGATCATCTATATAGAACTTTTCCTATTGGATTTTATGGTGCGAGTATATCTTAGGTTTGGATATACCAATGAGCATAAACGTCATAGCTTTGAGAGACCTGTTTTTTCCAACCTTAATGGGAAATAAAAGGGGGAAACTCAAGGAGTGTTTCATTATCTCTAATAATATTATTTAAGTGTAGAGCGTGGTAGTTGAGCTGTCTGTCAACAGTCCATACACATTTATTCTTTAAATCATACCCAGGCTGGCACCCTGCCACTGAGAAACTCATTAGCATGCAGTCGTATGCCATTGAAGGCGAGAGATGAGCTCTCCTGTCCCTCCACACCATAACAGAAAAGAAAGACAGGACACACATTTAAAAAAAACAAACCGATGCCAGCGTGGAGCATCTTGGGTGCTATCTGAGGAGGATCTCCACACACAAAGGGACATTCATTGGTCTGCCAAGTATCTGTGGAGTGCAGGAACAGACCCTAGAGTCTAGCGACAGATGATGATCTTATCGAGGGAAGGGTGCGGCGCAGGGGGTGGGGTGCAGAGGGTGAAGGTGGCGGAGAGGGGTTTGGTTGGGATTTTTGGTGGAGGGGGTACAGCTCGCAGGCCACATCAGGAGCTTCGTTTTGTGAGGAATTGTTGAAGATGGAACACAGGCGCTGGGTTCGTTACATCTCCTCATAGCCCATCTTGACCTCTCCACTTGTTCGACGGACTAAACACTTCTGTATTTGTACAAAATGCATTAGTGATGGAGTTGGGATTTTGGGGTGCTTGTGAGAGGTATTATCACCATGACATCAAGGTTTTTTTGCAGCCTTGTCAGTATCCCGGTTGGTAATACCAGTTTATTCTTACATTTTTCACCAAACCTGTAAATGCTCATATAGAGGACATACAGACAGTACACGGAGGGAAGTCATTATTCATCCACGGGGTGTTTTTGTGGAGATCTACCAACAGTTTCTGCAACAGATGTGACAAGCCATCTGTGAGCCAAGGTCCTCAGGCAACATTTGGTGTGAGATGCGCACAACTGGCACCTAAACATGGCGGACCACAAACCGCACAAATTGAATCGTACCCCCTTGTCTCCCCCCCC